GGCATGTGCGCATAGGAGCGGCCGAGGGGTGCAGGGACGGCTTGCAGGCCTAACGGGGCCTCCCGCCAACCCAGTTACGCGGCCAAACACGCAAAAGGTCGGTTTGTGAGGGCTGCAAAACAGATCGTCACCAGGGGTTCGCACGTGGTCCCCCACCGTACTACTGATCTGGCCCAATGGTGCTTACGTGCCCAGTGCTGATGGGATGGGCGGTTTTCACCATGGTATGAACGATCCATGCCAAAGGGCGCAACCTTGAAGTACATGTACCCTGAACGGCCGAGGGCCTTATGCCCGCAGCGTCTCCCAGCGCGCGTTTCCGTGCGAGCAGGCACGATTCACGTGTAGACGCCCGCCGCAGTGTATGGAGCCGCATCCGGGGCCGGCTCCAGCACCCACCACGCCCATCCGTGCTGAGCAGTAGCGCACTTGCTTTGGAATGGGGGCCGCTGCCTCGCAGCCGCCCATGCATGCATGCGCAGACTCCGTGCGTGGGATGGATGCGCAGGTAGGTAGGGCAGCACGACCCGCCCCCTGCCTACCTATCCATCTGCGCGTGCGCAAGTAAAGCGCCACCCACGCGCACCCAACCACCCATGCAGGGGCTGATCCAGCTCCGGGGCCCGCCTCTCAGATAGCCAGGCATCCACGCACGCACAGCAGGCCACCCTGACCCGCCAGCCAGGCATGTGCGCATAGGAGCGGCCGAGGGGTGCAGGGACGGCTTGCAGGCCTAACGGGGCCTCCCGCCAACCCAGTTACGCGGCCAAACACGCAAAAGGTCGGTTTGTGAGGGCTGCAAAACAGATCGTCACCAGGGGTTCGCACGTGGTCCCCCACCGTACTACTGATCTGGCCCAATGGTGCTTACGTGCCCAGTGCTGATGGGATGGGCGGTTTTCACCATGGTATGAACGATCCATGCCAAAGGGCGCAACCTTGAAGTACATGTACCCTGAACGGCCGAGGGCCTTATGCCCGCAGCGTCTCCCAGCGCGCGTTTCCGTGCGAGCAGGCACGATTCACGTGTAGACGCCCGCCGCAGTGTATGGAGCCGCATCCGGGGCCGGCTCCAGCACCCACCACGCCCATCCGTGCTGAGCAGTAGCGCACTTGCTTTGGAATGGGGGCCGCTGCCTCGCAGCCGCCCATGCATGCATGCGCAGACTCCGTGCGTGGGATGGATGCGCAGGTAGGTAGGGCAGCACGACCCGCCCCCTGCCTACCTATCCATCTGCGCGTGCGCAAGTAAAGCGCCACCCACGCGCACCCAACCACCCATGCAGGGGCTGATCCAGCTCCGGGGCCCGCCTCTCAGATAGCCAGGCATCCACGCACGCACAGCAGGCCACCCTGACCCGCCAGCCAGGCATGTGCGCATAGGAGCGGCCGAGGGGTGCAGGGACGGCTTGCAGGCCTAACGGGGCCTCCCGCCAACCCAGTTACGCGGCCAAACACGCAAAAGGTCGGTTTGTGAGGGCTGCAAAACAGATCGTCACCAGGGGTTCGCACGTGGTCCCCCACCGTACTACTGATCTGGCCCAATGGTGCTTTCGTGCCCAGTGCTGATGGGATGGGCGGTTTTCACCATGGTATGAACGATCCATGCCAAAGGGCGCAACCTTGAAGTACATGTACCCTGAACGGCCGAGGGCCTTATGCCCGCAGCGTCTCCCAGCGCGCGTTTCCGTGCGAGCAGGCACGATTCACGTGTAGACGCCCGCCGCAGTGTATGGAGCCGCATCCGGGGCCGGCTCCAGCACCCACCACGCCCATCCGTGCTGAGCAGTAGCGCACTTGCTTTGGAATGGGGGCCGCTGCCTCGCAGCCGCCCATGCATGCATGCGCAGACTCCGTGCGTGGGATGGATGCGCAGGTAGGTAGGGCAGCACGACCCGCCCCCTGCCTATCTATCCATCTGCGCGTGCGCAAGTAAAGCGCCACCCACGCGCACCCAACCACCCATGCAGGGGCTGATCCAGCTCCGGGGCCCGCCTCTCAGATAGCCAGGCATCCACGCACGCACAGCAGGCCACCCTGACCCGCCAGCCAGGCATGTGCGCATAGGAGCGGCCGAGGGGTGCAGGGACGGCTTGCAGGCCTAACGGGGCCTCCCGCCAACCCAGTTACGCGGCCAAACACGCAAAAGGTCGGTTTGTGAGGGCTGCAAAACAGATCGTCACCAGGGGTTCGCACGTGGTCCCCCACCGTACTACTGATCTGGCCCAATGGTGCTTACGTGCCCAGTGCTGATGGGATGGGCGGTTTTCACCATGGTATGAACGATCCATGCCAAAGGGCGCAACCTTGAAGTACATGTACCCTGAACGGCCGAGGGCCTTATGCCCGCAGCGTCTCCCAGCGCGCGTTTCCGTGCGAGCAGGCACGATTCACGTGTAGACGCCCGCCGCAGTGTATGGAGCCGCATCCGGGGCCGGCTCCAGCACCCACCACGCCCATCCGTGCTGAGCAGTAGCGCACTTGCTTTGGAATGGGGGCCGCTGCCTCGCAGCCGCCCATGCATGCATGCGCAGACTCCGTGCGTGGGATGGATGCGCAGGTAGGTAGGGCAGCACGACCCGCCCCCTGCCTACCTATCCATCTGCGCGTGCGCAAGTAAAGCGCCACCCACGCGCACCCAACCACCCATGCAGGGGCTGATCCAGCTCCGGGGCCCGCCTCTCAGATAGCCAGGCATCCACGCACGCACAGCAGGCCACCCTGACCCGCCAGCCAGGCATGTGCGCATAGGAGCGGCCGAGGGGTGCAGGGACGGCTTGCAGGCCTAACGGGGCCTCCCGCCAACCCAGTTACGCGGCCAAACACGCAAAAGGTCGGTTTGTGAGGGCTGCAAAACAGATCGTCACCAGGGGTTCGCACGTGGTCCCCCACCGTACTACTGATCTGGCCCAATGGTGCTTACGTGCCCAGTGCTGATGGGATGGGCGGTTTTCACCATGGTATGAACGATCCATGCCAAAGGGCGCAACCTTGAAGTACATGTACCCTGAACGGCCGAGGGCCTTATGCCCGCAGCGTCTCCCAGCGCGCGTTTCCGTGCGAGCAGGCACGATTCACGTGTAGACGCCCGCCGCAGTGTATGGAGCCGCATCCGGGGCCGGCTCCAGCACCCACCACGCCCATCCGTGCTGAGCAGTAGCGCACTTGCTTTGGAATGGGGGCCGCTGCCTCGCAGCCGCCCATGCATGCATGCGCAGACTCCGTGCGTGGGATGGATGCGCAGGTAGGTAGGGCAGCACGACCCGCCCCCTGCCTACCTATCCATCTGCGCGTGCGCAAGTAAAGCGCCACCCACGCGCACCCAACCACCCATGCAGGGGCTGATCCAGCTCCGGGGCCCGCCTCTCAGATAGCCAGGCATCCACGCACGCACAGCAGGCCACCCTGACCCGCCAGCCAGGCATGTGCGCATAGGAGCGGCCGAGGGGTGCAGGGACGGCTTGCAGGCCTAACGGGGCCTCCCGCCAACCCAGTTACGCGGCCAAACACGCAAAAGGTCGGTTTGTGAGGGCTGCAAAACAGATCGTCACCAGGGGTTCGCACGTGGTCCCCCACCGTACTACTGATCTGGCCCAATGGTGCTTACGTGCCCAGTGCTGATGGGATGGGCGGTTTTCACCATGGTATGAACGATCCATGCCAAAGGGCGCAACCTTGAAGTACATGTACCCTGAACGGCCGAGGGCCTTATGCCCGCAGCGTCTCCCAGCGCGCGTTTCCGTGCGAGCAGGCACGATTCACGTGTAGACGCCCGCCGCAGTGTATGGAGCCGCATCCGGGGCCGGCTCCAGCACCCACCACGCCCATCCGTGCTGAGCAGTAGCGCACTTGCTTTGGAATGGGGGCCGCTGCCTCGCAGCCGCCCATGCATGCATGCGCAGACTCCGTGCGTGGGATGGATGCGCAGGTAGGTAGGGCAGCACGACCCGCCCCCTGCCTATCTATCCATCTGCGCGTGCGCAAGTAAAGCGCCACCCACGCGCACCCAACCACCCATGCAGGGGCTGATCCAGCTCCGGGGCCCGCCTCTCAGATAGCCAGGCATCCACGCACGCACAGCAGGCCACCCTGACCCGCCAGCCAGGCATGTGCGCATAGGAGCGGCCGAGGGGTGCAGGGACGGCTTGCAGGCCTAACGGGGCCTCCCGCCAACCCAGTTACGCGGCCAAACACGCAAAAGGTCGGTTTGTGAGGGCTGCAAAACAGATCGTCACCAGGGGTTCGCACGTGGTCCCCCACCGTACTACTGATCTGGCCCAATGGTGCTTACGTGCCCAGTGCTGATGGGATGGGCGGTTTTCACCATGGTATGAACGATCCATGCCAAAGGGCGCAACCTTGAAGTACATGTACCCTGAACGGCCGAGGGCCTTATGCCCGCAGCGTCTCCCAGCGCGCGTTTCCGTGCGAGCAGGCACGATTCACGTGTAGACGCCCGCCGCAGTGTATGGAGCCGCATCCGGGGCCGGCTCCAGCACCCACCACGCCCATCCGTGCTGAGCAGTAGCGCACTTGCTTTGGAATGGGGGCCGCTGCCTCGCAGCCGCCCATGCATGCATGCCCCGCAAACCCCGCAAACACGCATGTAGCATAAGTGCCTAGCATAAGAAGAGAACCGCGGTATGTGTCGTGCACTCAAGAGGAACAAAAAACTGCGTAATCTAAACCCGTGCATCACAGCCGCAGTCTTTAGGTCATACGCGCATCAACCTACCCATACACGCCACACCCAAAGTAACGCTCGCTGCGTCAAGGCGCCAACCACCCGCATGGTCGCGTCCCCACGGTCACGAATACCGCTTTTTCTGCTGCCGCGGGCCCCCTTGCACGCTTCGATACACCCGACGGTAGCAGTCCAGCAGCCTACTCCGCCACTCGGGCCCATGCACTAATACGCCCAGCACGTTACCCCCGACCACCCCGCCACCAGCACCGTACCTCCCCTCCCCCTCCTTCGCCGCCGCCGCCCCCTCCACATGCTCCTCGCCCTTACCACCACCGGGCGCGCACACCGCTTCCCCCCTGCCTGCTTTACCTCCCTCACAGCGCGACGCAGTGCCGTACACGTAGTCATACATATCGTAAGCCTCGTACACGCAATCCGCCAGCATGCCGCCCTCGTAATCGCCGCCATCTCCTCCACCCGCCGCCGCTGCTCTCATCAGCGCTGCCGGCGACACCGCACCTCCGGGTGCAATCCGCACTTCCGCAGCAGCAGCCTCCAGGTCCGGCGGGAGACACCACCACCAGCTGCCCGCGTCTCCACTACCGCTGCAACCTCCTTCTCCCTCACAACCACGGTTCATACCGCTAGCACCACCACCGCCCCCTAGGCTGCCGCCACCTCCACTGCCACCACCAACCCCGCCACCCCCTCCCTTGCTCCACATGAGGCAGTAGTCCGCCGGCGTGTAGAACACGGGTCCCGGGCAGGCGTAGTGGTGGGGCGCCAGGTAGCGGCAGTCCACGTTGCGCACGATGGCGGGGGAGAAGCCGGCTGGCAGGTCGATGACGGGGGCAGTAGGGGGGGAGAGCGGGTGGGGGTGGCGGGGGCGGCGGTGGGGGGGGTGGTGGGAGAGGGTGAGAGAGGGGCTGGGAGGTGCGGGTGGGGTTGGAGCGGGTGAAGGAGGCGAAGGTGACACGGGTGTTGGAGGCGGGGGTGTTGGCAGCGGGAAGAGGTGGTTCCAGAAGGTGTGGCGGCAGGAGGCGAGTGGGGAGTGCGGGTGGGCGGGGTCCGCCAGCAGGAGCAGCAGCTGGGAGGTCATGTGGCTGGGGGTCAGGGGAGGGGGTGCGCGGGGGATGAGGGAGTGGAATAAAGGCCAGGAGACAGGAAAGGCAACTTCAGCTTGGTTGCATGGAGGTGATGCGTACGCTGCTCAGGGCATGGAAGCCATGGAAGCGATACGATAGCAAGGAAGTAGCCAGCGGTGGCTAGTCGGCAGGCTGGATGAGACGATTTACCGGTACCCCGGCCTCAACCCCCAGCAGAGCCGCGCATGCCCCTTGCATCCGCCTCCCTCCAGCCCCCCCCACACACGTTAGCGTTCCTCTCCACATCCTCGACGTCCTCCTCGAGCCCTCCTTCCTCACGCTGCACCCACACCCACACCCACACCCCCACGCTCACCTCATCGCTCTGTCCGCCTCCGCATGCCTCCCGCCGCCTCCCCCGCCGCCGCCATCTCTCCGGCGGGAGGCACCCAGCACCCTGCTCAGCAGGTCTCCGCCCTCCTTCCTGCCGCTGCCGCTGGTGCTTCCAGCGCCGCCACCAGCGCCTGGCCCTCTTCTGCAGCTGCTGCCCCCATCACTCCTCGCTGCAGGCGCCCACTGCCGCCCAGTTCCTTCTGCTGCTGCTGCTGTTCCCGCTCCCTCCTGCGCATGTACCTCCACCACAACCGGCGCCTTTCCGTCCTTCCCGACAGCCCCCGCCTCCCGCGCCTCCAACCCAACCCCCCCGGGGCCTGAACGCCCCCCCTGCAACGCCTGTGCTAGGCTCCAAAGCGCAAACAGCGCGAACACACCGTTACGTGACAAGTGGTCCGGACTGCCCAGCATGGGGCTGCCGACCTCGCTGCTGCCGCTGCTGCTGCCTACGCCAACCTTTCGACCCCTATGAGGCAAACCTGCCCCGTTGGTTATGGCACCACCGAGGAGTGCCGTGAAGCGCCGAAGCCGCCGCCACCACCACCGCCGCTGCCCTGCAAGCTCCTCCTCTCCCTGCTGGCCCCGCCGACATTGCATCTCGCCACAGCCTTGCCAGTGCTGCCGCGTTTCCCGCCGCAGGGCCTCCGCCCGCACCAGCTGTGCGGAGACTGCATGCGGCGAGGGCAGCACGGCGGGTTGCGCGGCAGCACTGGAGGTAGCGCGGCTCGCAGTGCGGCCGGTGACCCGTGGGTCGGTGTTGAGGAGTGCTGCTAGGGGCCACAATGGTGCAACCAGGGGATGCGCTACCGAGGTCGGGAGACGGCGAGTGGGGGCCACGTTGTACATGAGGCCGGTGGCCGCCTGGTGGATAGGGGTTCGACAGGGGGGTAGAGCCGTTAGGCAGGGGTCTGCAGTGGCAGGCAGGGGCAGAGCTTCCCGAACAGCGTGAACGGTGCTAGGGAAGGGGCATCACGCGCATCAGCAAGGTGGCGATTGAGAGCAGCACTGTCTCCATCCCAAACAGTTAAGCCGGAGAAGTACACTCTGCATACAGCATTCGCAATAAACCGTAAGCAATGCTTATAATGATGCCCCCACGTCATGCCTGGCTCACCTCATACTGCTGACGTGTCGCCCCAAACGCGTCCCCAAGCACCCCCTCCGAAAGCCCGTCATCATGCCCCAGCAGCCGCGCCGGCCCCTCCGGACGTCCCGTCATGATGGCCGCGCAGTCCCGGCCGTACTCGCCGCTGAGGGCCATGTGGGCGTGCCACAAGAGGTCAATGTCGTACATTGGGACGAGCGGCGCCGCATCAGGCGGCTGCACGGCAGCCAGGCCGAGGAAGCGCATGTAACGCACGCGGGCGGCGGCGAGGAAGGTGGGGTCGCGGTAGGGGGAGCGGAGGACCTGGGGTGGAGAAGGGAGGGACAGCAGGAGCCGGGATGGGAAGAAAAGGAGAGATTAGAGGGAGAGATGACAAGATGCGCAACGTCTCCGTTGTTCCTCCAGGACAGTGCTGCAGGGACACCTAGAAGGGGCCCTAGCTGCCGCACTTGTCAACTCGCCGGCCAGGGCCGCCCGCTTCCTCAACTGTAGCCCCGCCCTCCCTTCGCCTACTTCCCCCTAGACCCAAGGCGGCGGGAAAGCAGCCCCGCCCCGCCCCGTTCTCTGCTCGCCTGCCTAGTTGCAGTCTGCTTACTTCCAATCCGAGAGAGGTCAAGCATGCAGTTCCCACCTGGTGTAGGAACTTGCCTTGTCGGGGCATGGCCTCAATGACGTAGCTGCGAACAGAGGCCACACTGCCCGCAACGCCTGCATCTGCCTCGCTCACGCCAGCCGCCGCTGCAGCGTCAGCAACCGGGACTGCCGCAGCGGACGACGGAGAGGTCCTCGAGGCGGATGTGGACGCGGCGGCAGTCGAGAGGGGTGCAGGCGGCCAGAAGGTATGCTCGGCTGGCTGCCCGGGGCCGCTGGGGTAAGCAGCCTCCCATACCTGCGTGGTGTGGGGGTTGCGTGAGCTTGAAGCGTGGATTGGGTGGCTGCGTGTGCAGCCTGGGAAATACGACTGCAGGAGGCAACTAGGCATGTTGGCAGGACTGGAGGTTTTGCGGATCGTACCAGCCGAGTATCCTGTTCCTGCTCATCGCCGCTGCCTCCGCTGGAGAAGCCCAGCGATTGCAGCAGGTGGGCGGCGTGGAGCCCTCCGGCGCCGAAGCGGGCGGTGCAGTCGTTCACGTACTTTATGGGATTGAGGCGATGAACGAACCAGGCCCACTGTGGAAGAAGGGTTGCAGTTGATGAAAGAAGCGTCGCACATGGCTGTTGCCAAAGAACAGTATTGAGAAAGAAAGAGCAGCTTTGTATACTCAAAGCATACTTTTATGGGAAGTCATTAATCACATGAAAATGGCAACACACCTGGACATCCAGCGGCGGAACCAGCAAAGCAGCATTTGCATGTGAGAGAGCCTGCTGCTGGTGCAACAGCGGCATCCAATAAAGCCAGTACCGACGTATCGCCTGCTCGGCGTAGTGCCCATTGCACAATCCACCTAAAAGGATTGTAGGGCTCCTTAAGGGCTGACGAACGAACGGCAGCTGCAGCATTCATAGCGCATACCGAGAGGAAAGAGGTCCACTGCCCCAAGCAACCGTTCTAGCATTATGGCACAGCTCGTCAGGTCGGTGGTAACCTGCATGCTGGCCCTTTGAACGGCTTCCTCATACTGTGCTTTCACACTCAGGTCTGCGGTTGCCATGCTGTCTACAGCTGACCTATGTAACAAAGTCCTTCTTAAAAAACGCAATAATGTATTCTGCTTAAGGAGCCACCTTGCCTTATATGCATGATTCCGGCGGAAGCAAGTATACTATGTCGGCCTAGCGAGAGGTGGTGGCGACTACGCGTGCCTTGGCTCTAGTTGTACATAACAAGCAATGTTACGGATACAGCACAACTGGCCTACGACAACCTTGCCATAGGTTGACTGGTAGTACGGACAATACTGCCCGTAGCTCGCAGTGGCAAAGCACGTCACCCTGTGCATCTTGTGTTAAGGTGTCGGAGGCCTTCGGCACATGAGAGATGCTTTATGGAAGTCCTATAATGCTATATAGCATCAGGAACGGACTCTAGGTATATGCAATCCTGTGCTATCTTCCAGAAAGACCCCCAGCCACCTAGGCACAGGTCACCTTCGGAATCCGCGTGCCCCTACCAACCAAGTCGGCGTGCCCAGAAACCCCAAGACAACAACCTGTCTGCTCTCGTCACGCGAACATCCTAGGGTAGGGGTGCCCCCTTGGTGCCCACTAACTCGGCAGATGATAACCTACTTTCGTAAAACATTGCAATGGAACATAGGAAAAGGGACTCTTACTTAAAGGGACCAAGGTAACACTCAACCCGCCCGGGCCCACATCACCCAGAAACGAGCCATTTGCAGGCCCAAGAAACCACCAAAATACAGGATCCAAATCATTCCACACGTCAAATGCAATTCACACTCAGTCATTGCGTGTTGCGTCACCTAGCCCAATGCTGTAGACCCGGCACGCATGCTGGTACGTATCCAAGTTCCTGCTGACACGGATACGCAGGCGGCTCAAAGTCACTTGCCTTGCGAGACACAGCTGGCAGGTTTCAGCGCTTGTACGTACGTATGTACGGCAACTTGCGACATCCAAGTCCTGCCCGTCATTGTCATGTTTCCATCACACAGCACCACCACAAGCCGTGCCGCATACATCACACAAATGTTTGCTGCTGTGTCTAAATTCATTGCAACTCCTGAGCCGACCTCAGAAGACATCCTGAAAGATCTTGACAGTGCCAACCCAAGCCGCTCAGGAAACGAGCTTGGATGGCAATCCACAAAGGCCAGCCAACCCAGGCAAGCAAGCTGCCTGCCTGTCATAGAACAAGCCTAACGGCGCCCTTGCACACTGGACGTTGGTGAGCTAATCCTATATGCGCCAAGTATCATGTTGCTCAGCATGCAGTGGCATGCATACCCATTCATTCCAAGTTGTTTTTTGCAGCGTTCGTTGATGCACACCCAGCCCATCCGTTGATCCAAACCCAGCCATTCCACATCTAAGCCAAGCTTGGGGTTGCCCCTAACCAAGCAAGGGATTGGGAAGCTATGGATAGAACAGGCGCGTACAAGGGGCAACGACAATCTGGGCAGCACTCCACCCCTCGGCTCCCCTGGCTGCAGAAGAAGCAGCCTCTCAAGAAGTACAGCCTCCAAGACTTGGCATGCTGAACTCCAAACCAGACCGAGTCGACCCCCCACCGGTACCAGGCAGCAGGTACCCCGGCAATACCTCGTGCAAGCTAACACACATCGCTGGCTTGCAGGATTCCCAAAGCCCCTTCCCTCACCCGCAGCTACTGCTGCTGCTATGTCCTGCAGCCACTACCGCCACTGCTGCCTCCACTGTCCATTAACGACTGCTGCCTCTGCCCTCCGCCTCAGCTGCTGCTGCCACCGCCGCTGCTGCCCTGTCCCTCTCCCCTCTACCTCACCCGCTGCTGCCGCCCTTCTGCAGCAGTGCATCCAGGAACGCCACCACCTCCAGCACCGCACCCGCCAGAATGTCCTTGGCGCAGCGCCCCGTCTTCGCCAGCCCCGCTGCCTGCTGGACACTGTACGCGGCAACCACCAGCCGCCCCGGCCGCTGCAGATACATCAGCTTCACCGCGTCCGGCAGCAGCACCACACCCTCAGCACTGCTCTCAACTTCGGCGCTCAGCGGAACCAGCAGCGGAGGGCTGGAACCACCGCCGGCGGTGCTTCCGGAATGGGGTGACAGGGCCCTGGACAGCAGCCCCTGGTATTCGGGTGACCCACGTGCCAGCACGGTTGTGATGTCCGCAGCACGCATGTAGAGGGACCACGGCTCGTCGCCCAAGCGTGAGCCGGCCACCAGGCAGCCGGTCAGGCGCTTCAGGGCGGCTGGATCGGTGTCCAGGAAGCCCTGCAGGAGTGGGGTGTACAGCACATGCCGGGTGGGGCATGAGGAGATGGAGTAGGGAGGGGGTAAGATGAGCGATGGTGAGGCCTCCAGCAAAGGGCTTATCTCAGAATGAGTATATGGGCTGGGAAGAAAGAGATAAGATGCAATGCAGCTGCACTGAAAACACAAGGCTGTCGTACAGGCATGTGGTTAGCCAATGCGCTATCTAGGAACGGACAGCTGGCAGCCCCCAAGTAACACAATAAGAGTACAACCCAGGTAATTATCAAAGGCCTTCAGCTCCGAGAGGTGCACGCTTCTTAGCTTGTCCCCTGTACGGTATGAACAGCTGTTCCCCTCCCATCCTTAAAATTCCTTCAATACTTCGAAGGCTCATGCATACTGCAACACACGCCACACCCCCCTTCCCAACCCAAGCCAACCCACGCATGTGTACTTACCTCTGCGTCCATCAAGACGACCACACGCTGCGGGTACAGTGGCCGGATATCAAGTGCAGGGACGCTGCTGTTGCTCTTATGTGCTGCCCCAGCCAGCTGCAGTGCACGCTCCAGAGTCGCCACCGCTGCATGTGGCACACCAGGACCCCATGCTGAGCGGTCCCGCTGCACCTCCCGAGCAAGCAGTTGCAGCCCAAGCACAAGTGCCGGTGCACTGCAGGGAAGGATCCAGAGATACAGCTTAGCAAATAACAAGATAGGCTCCAGCACGGACTCCTTGATCTTGGCAAGGTTTCCATAACTACCAACAATGCAATCAGCGATGCCAGGGACAGGTGTGAAGTAGGCCAGCAGGGCTATTGTTGGAGGCTGCTGCCAACATGGTGGTGTCTACACTTGCACATGTGTACCTGTAGATCTGGATTGGGTGCACCCCAATGGACTTGAGGATGACACCCTTGGCCTCCGTAATCTTGTCAGCCACAGATGTGCCCAGAGCCAGCACCTGTTGCAATAATAGGCATAACACCGCCAAGCAGAACCCAAATTAGGAAATATGCAAACCGGTAGGAGGCCCCCCATGGGCCCCCTTCATTCCAGTTCGTCAGGTATAATTCTTTTACCACCCCCCATGGCAACTGCTGTTCCCAAGTAAATAGTGGCAATTTTAGATATTCCACAAAAACAACGAACACCCTTGGCATAAAAGCAAAGACTAGCAGGTTACACCATGCTCACTTGGATTTTGTCCAGTTCTTTGGGTGCCCTTGTGAAGTCACCTCTGCTCCACACCACCCCCAGCACCTCCTCTGCCTCCTGCATGGCAGCCTGAAGCTCCTGTGCCTCCCCATCCGATGCCACCAGCTCGAAGCGGCAACCATGGAGGGGTAGAACTGGCAGAGCCTACAGTGATATCAACGGCCAGCAAGAAAACCAGGGGAATCTAGTGTAGGTAATAATCCTTCTCATGATCAACTGTGCAAGGAACACACATCACAGCATGATGGTCTTTGGAACTGTTTGTGCCTACACATTGGGATGCCCTGTGCATGCTGCTATTCTGAGTGTATTCAAGCAGCAGACGACTAAGTCGGCTCAGGCTAGGTGGTAGAGGCAACCCCTCAAGGCAATGCTTTCTGCATGTGCCAGCTTTGTTGGCCCCTTAAAAGCACCTTAGCAGCCAAGGCACGCAAACACAAATACCCAAGGAACACATCTAGATGAGAGTCCCAGCACAGTTCAACCCTCAGTCAGGCACAGCCATCCTAACATTCAGCACAAGCCTCCATGCAAAGGCGGGCAGTCGTGGGCTTTGCATACCGGTACCTTCAAGTTTTTCCAGAGCTGTGGCAGCTGAGCACGGAGCTCATGGCAAAGCTCGTGGGAATGCTCCATGCTTGCAAGCTGCAGCACCGGTAGAGCAACCTTCGACCAGCTCCAGTTCATGCCCATAATTGGGGCAACCCCAGCAGCCGCAGTGCAAGCAGGGGCCAAAGCCTGAGCTCCAGAAGGAACAGCGGCAGTTGTAGGGCCATCCTGGGGACCAGGAGCATGCATGCAACTGCTTTGAAAGTATGGCAAGAGGTCCCTCCAGCTCCACAAATTGCGGGCATCTGGTTCTGCTTTCACTGATGGTGGCTGAGGCAAGCTAACAGCCTGATGAGCAGGGTGGACCCCGCCATAAGGCACGAGGCACCGCCAGCTAAAGAAGCCCTCATTTTGTTCTATAGCAGAGCTGCACGCTGCGGATTCCCCACCATGCAAGTCTGCACTCTGCATGTCAGGGAAATGAATGCTGCTCTTGCTGTCAAGATCCGTGTAGCTGCCAGCCATGGTGGTGCTGGTGCTGCCAGAGTCTGTGCCAATGGACATATCTGAAGACACTGAGTCCAGTAGCTGCAGGAGATCATCACCACTCCCTTGTGCTGCACTGCTATGGGGTATGGGAACATCCAAGGCTTGCACCCCCCATGTAGCACGCATGCCCTGCAAGGTAGGACCAGGTGCTTCAATGCCTGCATCTGTGGCAGACATTGCAGCTTGCAAAGCAGCAGCCTGCTCCAGAAGGCCAGTTGAGGATGAGTAGGGCTTTCCCAATCCTTGGCCATGCAGGGTAGAGCCTAGCTCAGGTGCTGCTTCAGCAGTTCCCTCCTGACCACCCTCCATTTCAGTGACAGCAGCCAGTGCCTCTATGGTTGTTGGCAGGCCAACCTCTGGCCCAGCACAAGGAGGTACCTGGCAGGGGAGCACAGGCTTCCATGCCAGGGCCTGGGTGGCCCGGGCTAATAAGCCATCAGCCTGCTGCGCTTGAGGTGGGGATGGTTCTAGTACTGCTGCAAGAGACTCCTGCTGGTGTGAACTAGCAGCAGCAGATACAGAAGTTGCTGCATCAGGAGTATCTACCTGCCCTGCATCTATATTGACAGGAGAGGGATGAGATTGCTGTGTGCTGTCCAGCTTGGCAGCAGATACTGGGCCCCCAGCAGCAGCACTTGATGGCTGCATTGGTATTTCGTGGGTGTCAGGGCGACAGGAAGCAGCAACATCAGCCTCCTTTGCCTCCTCCGCAGGCTGAGCTCCAGGAGTGTCATCATCTTCATCCACTTCAACTTTCTGGCTAAGCAGGAGCCTAGCATTGGTCTCCTTGCATTCCTTCCGCAGGTGCTCCTTGGTCTTCTCAATGCCCTTCTGCTCGGTCTCCAGGGTAGCCATATGGCGGAACTGCACCCGTCGCTTGGACACCTGCAGAACAGCATCACCACCTTACCCATCATGCTCAATGTTCTTGCACCTTGCTTCCCACCCCGCCAGTTTACATCATGGTTCTCCCATCATGGAGTGTCAAGCACAGTTGGCCAGTCCATGCTGCAATCTGTATCTTCTCCTATCTTACTCCTATCTAGCTCGCTTGCCTGGTTGTGGTCCCTAAAGAGTGCTCACCTCCATGCTATCTTCCTTCTTGAGAATGCCCTTTACTCCCTTGTCTGATGCAGAAGCCTTGTCCCATGTTGCCATGGAGAAGACCTACAACACCAAGGGCACACACTTCAGCTATTAGAGCTAGATACCCACATATGTGCAGCAAATCAGTCATGTTGACAGCAAATAGGCATGCAAAAACCATATGTTAAGACTTGGCAGGTGTGATGAACTAGGTTTGGCTGAACATGTTTCACATGCTTACATGCTTCCTGCTTCCAGTCAAACACAGCAAGCAGTCCTCAGCACCGTTGTCCAGGTCTAAACCATCAGTTGGGACTTGGTGTGGGACGAAGTACAGCCTATATAGAGGGTGCTGAGGGCTTTTTGGTGACGGTGGAGTGTGCAGCAGCAGCCGTTCAAGCACAGGGTACTGAACAAGCTGCTCGTTGGTGAGGTTTATGAGCTCCAGGGCTAGGATGTTTGATGGCCCTTGCAGGATCCTGCACAGGAAAGCACATTTCTTATAAGGTTAATGACATTACTGAAGGATTCACCACTAAAACAGGTAGATAGTAGCAGCTGTCTTAGCAATCTATTAGCAGGAAAAGTGTGCTTACCCCAGAAGCTCCTTAAAGCCTTGCCCAGCAGCACCTAGAGAGAACTTTGGATACATAACCAGGCATGTCTCGCACGCCAGGTTTTCCAAGTAAAACCTGTAAAGTTGCAACCGTTAGAATTGCACCAGCAGCAGCACAGCTTTAAATACCCACTCCCTTACCTACGGGCCTCGACAATGGCTGGTGGCATGTCACCCTCCTCCTGAATGAGTCGCCACTTCAGCCCCTCTCCTGATTCCGGCAGCAGGGAAAAGAGCCGCACCATGCTGTCGTGCGGATTTGTGGACTGCAGCTTCATCCTTAAGCTCTGCATGCGGTGTGAATCCTATTAGCTTCTATCTAAAGCGACCCCCCTGATGTTGGCTCTTTGGGCACTTACTCTCTGGTTTGTTGTTGTTGAAGAGCTGGGTATTGGGACCAAACCTTCCCATAAGTCAACCCGCTTATCCTTGGCGTCACCCTGGTCAGGCCCAACCATTGCTGGCTGCGATGAGCCAACTGAAGGCAGGTTGGACAGAGCCTGCAGTTTCAGGTCACCCTTTGGTAAATGGTACAGGTGTCAGGAAAGGTAAATGGTGCAGGTGTCAGCTAACCAAAGCAGCTTGGCTTCTTCTGATATCTGTGTACCTTATCAGTGGTATTTAACCAAGGTGCAGGCCTGGGCAGCACAGGTGGCACACGGGGGGCAATGCCAAAAGGCAACCCCCTTGCACCAGCAGTACCAAAGTTACGAGCTGGCTGTGCATCATTGCTGCTGCCAAGCGCTGCAGCAAGGCCTTTTTGCGGCCCTCCAGCCAGTGGGCCCTTTCCAAGCCTGGGTGCTGCAGGAACACCTCGTGGGAGGTCATTTGATGCTGTTGCCTTGCCAGGCATAGGGGTAGGCCCCATTCGCCCTAGCATGGGCCGTGACACTGGCTTGGCTTTCTGGTCACTTGCCATGGCTGTTGGCAGTGTAAGGTCGTCTGACACAGCACAATCTCCTTGAGCCCGCTCAGCCGTGCTAGATGGTGCTCCAGGAGCTGATGCTTCCTGCCTTTGGCTCACAGTTGATGGGGCCTGGTTTAGGCGGTGCGCTGGGCGGGCCTCAGTGTTCAAAAGCCGCTTGGAATCTTTTGTAGGTGCTGCTTGTCCAGCTGAAGATACTGCCCGCTGTTCTACAGCACCACGTCCACGTGCATATGAAGCTGAAGAGGCCTTCACACCTCCAACTGGTTCCTGCTCTTGTGCTTGTCCTCGCTGGCCTTGAATATCCACCCGTGCACGCTTCAGCGGCCTCCCATCACCACGGTTGCTGTTGCCAGCTGTAGCTGCCGATGACAGCCCACCCCGGGCCTCAGGAATGCTAGAGTCCCCAAAGACAGCCCCCAGCATTGGCGGATCCACTGCTGAAGTCAGTGATCCAGCGCCAGCCCCATCGTTGTCTGCTGTGCTCAGCTGCATTTGGCTGGTGTCAAAGAGCACCTCCGACTCGAGCTGCCTCTGAGCTTGAAGCTCGGCAAACACACTGCTTGTAGCAGCAGCAGCACGCAGCTGCTGTGGCTGTCGCAGGTGACTTGGGTTGCTGGGAAGGTTCGGGTTGCTGGGAAGGTTCGCGCCTCCATCCACATCCGCCTCCTCATGCCTGCCAGTGTGCTTACTCTGTATGCCACCAGGCAAGCTTGCATCCAATGATGCTGCTGCATGGCCCTGCACAGCCTCCCTCGACTCCTCTCCACTGCCAGTCTGCTGAAGCAGGCCCGTCGTCCCCTTCTTCTTGTGACCGACCCCTGTCAAGCAAGCCGGGACGTGCGAATAGCTCAAGGGCCTAATGGCCAAACACTTGGCAAACCGGGGCAGTTTAGTGAAGTCAGAATTCTCACCGCTGCCCTGTGAGCATATCGCGCACTGAAGCGAGCCATACGCCGCAAGGTCCTTGGGCAAGCCTTCTGGGGCATGAAAGCCTTCTAGGCAATACAGATGGCGCCCTTGGCCGCATCTGCGGCGACAGCAAAGGGTGAATGCGCACGGAGGACGCATGTATAAGTATAGAAAATATGCCGAGGGCACAATGGTTTCCTAAGCTGCTGAGAGGGCACGTGTAGGTTGACTTCTCTAGGATTCTCCCGCGCGGCCAACCTAACTAGTACACATGCAACTCCTGAAAACGCCCACCTGTCACTGTTTCTACACCTAACAAGCCAACTAAGGGAGCCGTCGAAACCGCAGACCTCACAAAGCACGCCAGTCATCTCGCCTTCAACCCTTTTGGCAAACGCACAACTTCATTTCCAGCCCAGAAAAACGCATTAAAGAAATTGACAACAGATGGTTTAAGATAACCAAATAATACGGATGCGATGCTGCCACTATGACTATGTGCTGCCAATGTGTACGACATGCCGGACTTGCACCTATCCACCATAGGGCAAGCCATCGCTACCTCCATGGAACACCAGCGACTACGTTTTGGAGCACAACCAAAGTGACTTACGTTTGGCAACGTTCAATTCATGACGCATCACCTTTTCCTAACGAGGAAACGCACAAAAACGAACACGTACACTATTGTTTAGTACTTTACGCAGCTAAGGAGTTATAGCAGAGCACTTATTACGGCGGCCAGCTACCGCCGTATCATCGGCGACTAAGCAAAGAAATGAACGTCACCACTGAGGTTCTGGTCGCGCTACAATCCAAGCCAGTAAGTATAGCGATTGACAAACCGGCCTGCAATGAACCCTCTCCGACCGGACATCCATCAACCGCCGCCGGAATGTACTGCTGAGCTTCCTTTCCCCCTACCCGCCATCCCACCCCACCCCTCCAGGACCGTGTGCGCAATCTCTGTATCCTCGCGCACGTAGACCATGGCAAAACGACGCTTTCCGACCACCTCATCGGCTCCAACGGTCTCATCCATCCACGCATGCAGGTGCGAAACCTGCTTGCACTCGCTCACCCGATCCCTCATTCATCACGGGCAAGTCGCCTGGCATGCTGTCATAACACCCTCCTCCTCCTCCCCAACCACCCAACTAGACCTCCTCCTTCAACCCTTCACCAGTCGGTGACTTCCCGGACATCCCATTCACATGTCACCTCCTCCGCCCACCTCACCTCGCCCATTCCCCGCAGGGCGAGCTGCGTTACCTGGACAGTCGGGAAGACGAGCAGGCGCGAGGCATCACCATGAAGGCCTCCGCCATCAGCCTGCTGTACGTGCCGGGGGCGGCCACACGGCCCGAGGTGCGCAGCGTGGCGCCGTGTTGGGGCCGGGTGGAGCGGGCTGCAGGGGGAGCAGCGCGGGGAGCAAGGAGGGTGCCTTGGAAAGGAGGATAGCCAGGGGGCGATGGCGGGGGAGTGTTCACCTGTGGATGAATCCCCCCCCCTCGAGCACTGCCTCGTCTGCGATCGAAGAAAACCCTGCCTTGCATCAGGGAGGCCTCGGCTGGACTGTCATACCCCAGCCCCTCCCTCCCACCTCACCACCCTCCCACCACTCCCACCCCTCCTGCCCCCCCCCAGGGTCCCAAGTCGTTGTCCGAGTCCGACAAGCTGGCTCGCGGCTACCTGGTGAACCTGATCGACTCGCCAGGCCACGTGGACTTCTGCTCCGAGGTGTCCACCGCGGCGCGCCTGAGCGACGGCGCGCTGGTGGTGGTGGATGCGGTGGAGGGGGTGTGCATCCAGACGCATGCGGTGCTGCGGCAGGCGTACGAGGAGAAGGTGGGAGGGGTGCGGGGTAGGGGGGGTTGGGGGGTGAGGGGGCGTGAGTGAGATGCGAGCGAGGAAAGGAGGAGAAGGTGGGGTGAGGTAGACTATGAGCGCATTGTGTCAAGGACAAACACGACTGCATACACACATACCCCTCCTCTTCCCCCCTCGTCTTCCCCCCCACCTCCCCCCCCCACCCGCCCCCAGGTCAAGCCCGTGCTGGTGGTCAACAAGCTGGACCGCCTCATCTTGGAGCTGCGGCTGTCGCCCGAGGAGGCGTACGAGCGGCTGCGGGGCATTGTAACGCACGCCAACATGATCCTCTCCGCCTTCGCCTCCGAGCGCTACCTGCGGGAGGCGGATGCGGTGCTGGCGCTGGAGGCGGCGCGAGCGGAGCAGGCGGAGCAGCAGCAGCAGGAGGAGCAGCAGGCGGAGGCAGTGGCGGCGGAGGCGGGGGTGACAGCAGCGCCGGGGGGCCGGGCGGTGGTTAATGGGGAAGGCGGAGGAGGAGCAGGAGGGCGGGGGGAGGAGGAGGAGGAGGAGCGGGATGCGTTTGACCCGGTGGTGGGCAGTGTGGCGTTTGGAAGTGCGGCGGACGGCTGGGCCTTCAGGCTGGACCAGTTCGCGGAGATGTGGGTGACACCCGGGGGGTGGGGGTGGTGCCGGGGGGTGGGGGGCATCTTGGATGCGGGTTTGGGTGGGGTGGGGTCGGGTGGTATCCACGGCTACCTTGCTAGTAAGGTGCCAACCCCTTCCCCTTCCCCTCAAGGCTCTGGTAGCCGTCCTCTTATCCCTCTCCTCTGATTCCTCTCCCCACACCCCCGCACCTCCACACCCCCGCACTCCCCCACTGCCCCCCAGGTACGCTGAGAAGCTGGGTTGCAAGCCCGAGGCGCTCGTGCGGGGGCTGTGGGGCGACTGGGCGTACAGCCCCAAGGTGGGACGGTGGGGTAGCGGTGGGGGGAGTTGCGGCGGTGGCGGGGATGTGGTTTCGGTGATGCGGCACCACCACCACGTGTGTTACCACCACCATCACAGCCGCCTGTTGCCATGGGTCCCTGTCAGCTGCGGGTTGTTCAGGTCTCTAGCTACCCCTCCTGTTCCCCTGCTGATCTGCTATGCCCCCTCCTCCTCAGTCAATTGCTTCCGCTTTATCCTCCTCTGCTGCCCCCTCATGCCCCCCTCATGCGGCCTCCTCCTACTCCCCCGCAGGACAAGCGCGTTGTCCGCTCCTCCCGGCGAGGTGGTGGCGGCAGCGGCGGCAGCAAGTTGAAGCCCATGTTCGTGCAGTTCGCGCTGGAGCCCATCTGGAAGGCCTACAGCGTGTGCGATGCGGGCGAGGACGTGGCGGGGGTGCTGGGCCCCATCGTGCGGTCGCGGGGGCTGGGGCCGCTGCTGGCGCCGCGGGCACTGGAGCACCCCGACCCGCGGCAGGCGCTAAGGGTGGGTGGGGAGAGGGGGGGGCGGGGAGCGGGAGGGGAGGGGAGGGGAAGGGGCATGCGGGCAGGGTTACAGAGGACTATAGAGGGGAGGAGGGGAATGAGAGCATTGAGGAGGAGGGGTGAGGGAGTAGAGCTGGTCAGCCAGCCAGCCAGCCAGGTTTGGGGCTGCTGCTTTCCCTCGCCGCGCTCCACACATTGAGGACGTTGTATCAATGCAGCCCCCACCGCTGCCGCTGCTGCTGCTGCTGTTGCCCACCCCTCTTCCACCTCCTCCCCTCCTCCTCCCCCCCTTTCCAGTCCGTGCTGCGCGCCTGGCTGCCTCTGTCGGAGGCGGTGCTGGGTATGGCGGCTGCCCGGCTGCCCAGCCCGCCCGCAGCCGCACCCAGCCGCGCGCCCAGGCTGCTGGGGGGCCCGCCGGGGGGGCCGCCGCCGCCGGGTATGCCGGAGGTGGCGGCGAGGGAGCTGGCGAGGGTGGAGGTGAGGGGGGGGGGGGGGGGGGGGGGGGGGGACGTTAGGGGACGGGGAGGGAGGGAGGGAAGCACTACCGGAGTGGGTGGGTGTGAAAGTGAAGGTGGGGGAGGTGGAAGGGAGGGTTATGGAGGCTAGGTGGGGTAGCTGCTTCCCCCGTTTGCCAAGCCGGACCGCCGTTAGTCGACAGAACGCACCATTTCCCTCTCCTCCTAACCTCCACTCTCACCCTTCCCCCCCCTCCCCACCTCCCTACCTCCCCCGCAGTCCTGCATCGCCCGCAGCGACTCCTCCCCCTCCGCCCCGCTGGTCATCTACGTGAGCAAGATGGTGGCGGTGCCGCGGGGGCTGCTGCCCAGAGGGGTGGGCGGCGGAGGCGCGGGAGAGGGGTCGGCGCAGGGCGCTGCGGGCGGGGCGGATGAGGAGGTGAGAGCTGCAGGATGGATGGATGGATGGATGTCGCGAGCACCTGCTTTACTCCGCAGCTTCCTCCTACCTCCTGCCCCTGACTTACCCTCCCTTCTGCGCCCTCCCTTGCCCTGGGCCGGGCTTTCTGAGGCACTGGGGAACTGCTTTGATACCTCCTTCCTTGCATCTCCCCCCCCTTACCCTCATGGTTAATTGGTTTTCTCTCCTTCAACCCTTCACACACCCCACCTCACCCCTTCACCTCCCTCCCCAGGTGTTCCTGGGTTTCGGCCGTGTGTTCAGCGGTGTGGCCCGCCCCGGCCAGCGGCTGCACGTGCTGAGCGGCGCCTACTCGCCCGCGCACCCGGCAGGGGGGCAGCGCGGCAGTGCGGTGCTGGGGCCGGTGTTCATGATGATGGGTCGGGCGCTGGAGCGGGTGGAGCAGGTTAGTTTGGGGGGATTAGTTATTACCGTGGACCGGGACCGTGGAGCCGTGGAAACAGGGGACAGGGAGCGGGGGCAGGGGAGGCGAAGAGGGCTGAAAGAGCTTCACAGGGTCACATTGGAGCTAGCTTGTATAGTCAGGGAGGGAGGGAGGGAGGAGGGAGGGCGGTCATCGGCACCCCACACCAGCATATTGCCGAGAGGCGCTCGCGAAGCATGGCGACCCATGGGTCTCACAGTCCCCTTCCCCTCCCCCCCTGCCCCCAGGTCCCCGCCGGCAACCTGCTTGCCATCGCCGGCCTGGACTCCTTGGTGCTCAAGTCCGCCACGCTGGCCTCCACCCCCGCCTGCCGCCCGCTGGCTCCACTCATGTTCCAGGCGGCGGCAATTGTGATGGTGGGAAGGGAGGGGAAAGGGTGGCGGAGAAGGGTGGGGGAAGAGGGAAGGATGGGGGGAGGGTGGGGGAAGGAGGAAAGAGGAACTATGTGGAAAGGAGGACGGGAGATGAAAGGGCGGGGGCTGGGGATTGATGGGCAGCAGGAGGAGGAGGAGGTGAGCAGGAGCGGGAAGGCAAAGGGGAATGTTGACTTGGCTCAACGAATAACTCCCTTTTGCTTTACTTCACCTCCCACCCACCCCACCCCCACCCCCCAGGTGGCCGTTGAGCCCGCCCACCCCAGCGACCTGCCGGCCCTGGTGCGGGGGCTGCAGCTGCTCAACAGGGCGGACCCGTTCGTGGAGGTGAGGGGGGGCCGGGTGGAGAAAGAGGGGAGGAGGGGCTGGAAGAGCTAATGGGTCCTCGCGGCTGTGTGTGTATGTTGCATGACGCGCCTCCCTCCCTCCCTCCCTTCCCTTCCCCCCCCGCAGGTGAGTGTGCTTGACAGCGGCGAGCACGTGCTGGGTGCTGCGGGCGAGGTGCACCTGGGCACCTGCATCAAGGACCTCCGGGAGCGGTTCGCACGGGTGGAGCTGAGGGTGAGGGGGGGCGGGGCGGGAAGGGGGGGCGGGGACAAAGACGTACCAAACCATAGGAAACTATAGATTAGGACAGGGACAGGAAGGGAGGGATAGAGATAAGGAAGACTGACCGGGGGGGAGGGGGGGAGGGGACGAGGGGAGGGAGGACGGTACATGCATGGTCACTGGTGCCCAGTAAGCATCCCATTGTCTCGTTGCCTCACTCTTGGTCGGTCTCGGTCTCCTTCCGTTGCCTCACTCTTGGTCGGTCTCGGTCTCCTTCCGTTGCCTCACTCTTGGTCGGTCTCGCTCTCCTCTCTCAAGTGCTCCTTCTTCTCCCTTCGCCCCCCCTCCATCCGACCTCCCCGCCCCCCTCCCTCCCTCCCTTCCCCCCTCCAGGTGTCCCCCCCGCTGGTCGCCTTCCGCGAGTCCGTGTTCTGCCCCAGCGAGCTGCCCGAGGGGGGCGCACTGGGGGGGCTGGTGGGGGGCATGAGGAACCCCAGGTGGGTGGGGGGTGCGGGGGGAAGGGGGTGTGGGAGGGGAGCAGAGGGGAGGGTCAAAGACCATACCAAACCGTAGGAGACCACAGGTTAGGGCACAGAGGGGGGGAGGGGGGGAGGCGTGGTCGGAGGGCAATCGGAAGGCAGAGCTGATGACGTGCCGAGAGGGTGATGCATGGGAGTGTGCGGGGACGTTCGTAACGGGCACGATCCCGGTAGTCATGCAGCAGCCCTCTCTCCCAACCTACTGCCTCTCCTCCTCCCGCCCCTCCTCCCCCCCGCAGGCTGGTCGTGGAGGCCACCACCCCCAACGGAGTGGCGGTGGTGCGGGTGCGCGCGGTGCCGCTGCCCGCCCGCATCGCAGGGGAGCTGGACGGGCGGCCGGAACTGCTGCGGAGGGTGCTGGTGGAGGGGGAGGGCAGGGGGGGCGGGGGAGGCAGGGGGGCAGCACCGACAACACCTGCTCCGACAGAGGGAGCAGCGGGGTCAGGGTCAGCAGCAGGGTCAGGGTCAGGCGCCGCTGCCTCGCTGGCGGGGGAGCTGGAGGGGCTGGTGGGGGCGCTGCTGGGGGCTGCGAGGGCGGAGGGCGGGCAGCAGGCGGGGGACAAGCTGGTGGCGCTGCTAAAGGTGGGGGGGGAGTGAAATACCCAATGTGTGGGTTGGCAGATTTGATGACAAATTTGGTGACAAGCCCTTACTTGGGGAATGGGTTAGAGTGAGTCCAGCCGAAGAGGGTGTAGGATGAGGGTTGGAAAGGGAGGGTTTAGTTGCATGGGCGGGTTGAGGGCCCCTGTGGTGCTGCGTGTTAGGTGGGCCGGGGAGAAGTCTCCCCATTGCCAGGTTGATGTGCGATTGCTTCCGTGCTCTAATCTGATTGCATCCCCACCCCCCGACCTCCCTGCTCCTCACCCCCGACCCCCCTCTCCCCGCCCCCCCCCCTCAGCGTGCCTGGCTCCTGGGTCCCAAGCGCATAGGGCCCAACATCCTGCTTGCTCCGCCACCACCGCCACTACAAGCAGCGCCCCCTCCTTCACCCTCACACCCCCCACACCCCTCACCCTCACCCTCATCGCCAACAGCCGCAGCAGCGCCCTCAGCGCTACCAGCGGCACCCTCACCCTCACCAGCACCCCCCCAGGAGAGCCTGTTCGATGTGCCCCCCAACCTGGTTGTACGAGCGGCCAAGGTGACCAGCAAGGCAGCGGCCCCGGGGGCGCCAGGAGGCATGGCGGCGGCGGCCGCAGCCGCTGCAGCAGCCGCCACGGCGGACGTACGTCCCTCCGACGACGGCGCTGACGGCGGCAGCGGCGGTGACGCAACGGCGAACACTGCTGCGGCCGCCTCGGCTCGCCTCGATCTGCGACTTGGTCGGCCGGAAGCCGCACTCGCACTGGGGTTGATAACCCAGGAGGAGGCTGCGTTGTACGAACGGTACGACAGCGCTGCTAGCGGCGGTACGACTGGCGAGGGAGCCGCAGACGTCAACGGCGGCGCCCTGAGTCTTCTTCCTTGCTCCTCCTCCACAACCTTGCCGTCCGCTTCCGCATCCTCCTCGCTTCCCGACTCGCTGCGTCACGTGGTTGCCTCGGTGGAGTCGGGTGTGGTGGCTGGGTTCCAGATCGCGGCCAGCTCGGGTCCGCTGTGTGAGGAGCCGCTGTGGGGGGTGGCGTTCGAGCTGGAGGTGCGGCTGGTGCTGGCGGCGGGAGGAGGAGCAGCGGGGGCGGCTGGGGGAGCAGGGAGCAGCAGTGCAGGGGAGGCGAGCACCGCGGCGTCCGAAGGACAACAGCAACAGCAGCAGGAGGGGGAGAGGGAGGCGGTGGCAGGGAGTGCAACTGGCGGCGGTGGCGGCGGCTGCCCCCCCTTGGATGGTGCTGCGGGGACGTGGGCAGGCGGGCGGGTGGGGGACCTGCAGGAGGAGGTGTACGGGCCCTTCTCGGGGCAGGTGAGGGAAGGGGTAGGCAGGGATTAACATGGATACGTCTTCCGCATATGGCTCAATTATAGGATAGGGGGGAAAGGGGAGGGAGGGAAGGAGGTCATTTTGGGAGAAGGACTCGGCAGCTAAATAAGCATGTTTCGTGTATGTCCTCCTTTGCCCAGTGCCTCCCTCTGCCTACGGCCACACAAGCCCACGACCCACTGACCCAATTTGCTTAGCCTGCTTTAGCTTCTGAGGATAACAATGGATAATAACTCATTAATCTATTACCCACTGCCCTCTGTGCACTGGTGGACAACTATCCGGCGCATCCCACCGCCCCGTGGATGCCCCGGCTGATTCCCACCGCACAGCACCCACATGCATGTTTTAGCTACCTCTTGTGCGGCCCGCCTACATCGCCCCACACGACGCGCCCCAGCCCTGCCCACTCCCACCCCGCTCATCTCCTCCGCATGCACACTCACCTCCCCAACCACCCCCCACCCCCGCCCCCGCCCCCGCCTCCACCCAGGTGATGACGGCGGTTGCCCTGGCGTGTCGCCGAGCGGTGCTGGAGGCGGATGCGCGGCTGGTGGAGGCGCAGTACCTGTGCCAGGTGGGGCAGGGGGGGAGCAGTACCTGTGCCAGGTGGGGCAGGGGGGGAGTGCTACCTGTGCCAGGTGGGGCAGGGGGGGAGTGCTACCATGCATAGGAGGGGCGGCGGGTTGTGGGTGTTGGGGTCGGACGGTTGCGGGTATTGAGCTGATGGCTGCGGTACGGCACCGGGGGATCTTACGTGGTGGCTGACGTGGTATAGCAGGTGTAGGGGCGGGCATCACAGCCACCTACCCCTGATCCATACGGCCTCGGTGTGTGCTGGGGTAGCAAGGCCTGTTGCCTGGCCCGAACGCATGCGGTTGCACTGGGTTTGGTTTCTCTTTGCCCCTAACACCCCTCTTTAACCCCCCTCCCTGCCCCCCCTTCCCCCAGCTGACCGCCAGCGCTGAGGCCCTGAGCGGCATGTACGCGGTGCTGGGGCGGCGGCGGGCGCGCATCCTGAGGGAGGAGATGCGCGAGGGGAGCGACACGTTCCTGGTAGGGGGCTGGGGGTGGGGGTGGTAGGGGGCCTGGGGACGGCAGGGTGGTCGTGCGATTGTCGCTGGAAATGGAATGCAGGGGATCGGAAGGGGACTGAGGGCAGTTGCGTGCGTTACAACTTCCATGCCCTCTCTCCCCTCTTGGCTCCTCCCCGCTGAAGATGTGGGAGTCGAGTGGTGACGGATTGAGGTTGACCGACAGCGACGGCGGCCCCAGGGCGATGTAGGTCCCGCCCAGTTGTTGGGCGCGCAGGCTGGCCTTGGACCGCATGCTGCCCGGGACCTGGCCGGAGATGAAGTGGAACGCGTGGAAGAGCAGCCGGCCGCCCTGCGACAGCTGTGCCAAGGTGCCAAGGTGCTCCACCCCAATCAAGCCACGGTGAACCACCACCACCGCGAGCGCGTCCATGGCTGTGAGGCCGCCTAGCTGCCGCATGTGGTATGGCGCCAGCTGCACCTTCACCGCGGCGAGGCGGTTGACGGTGTGCCGCACGATGATATCCGTGAGGTCAATCATGAAGTAGGGGCTGAGCGGCGCAGCTTCCGGCGGGCACCAGCGCAGCAGCTGCATGCGGCCCCAGTCCTGCAGCGGGGATGTCGCTGCTCCTTCCCCAACGGCACGGGAGCCTGCCCAGCGGGGATGTCGCTGCAGGACTGGGGCCGCATGCAGCTGCTGCGCTGGTGCCCGCCGGAAGCTGCGCCGCTCAGCCCCTACTTCATGATTGACCTCACGGATATCATCGTGCGGCACACCGTCAACCGCCTCGCCGCGGTGAAGGTGCAGCTGGCGCCATACCACATGCGGCAGCTACGCGGCCTCTCAGCCACGGACGTGCTCGCGACGGTGGAGGTGGCTCGCTGCGGCTTGATTGGTGCGGAGCTGCGCAGCACCTTGGCGCAGCTGTCGCAGGGCGGCCGGCTGCTCTTCCACGCGTTCCACTTCATCTCCGGCCGGGTCCCGGGCAGCATGCGGTCCAAGGCCAGCCTGCGCGCCCAGTTGTCGGGCGGGACCTACATCGCTCTGGGGCCGCCCTCGCTGTCAGTCAACCTCAATCCATCGCCGCTCGACTCCCACATCTTCAGCGTGCTGGCGGGGCAGCCGTACGCTTTTTCTGAGGTGGGGGAGCCCGTGGAGCAGCCGAACGCCATGCAGTGCTGGAAGATGGCCGTACAGCACCCCCGGGAGGCTGCCGAGTACTCTAGCCTCTTCGTACGGGTGTACTGTGCCGTGTTCCTCGGCTGGCCCGTCGCGCTCCTGCGCAGACCGACCCGCACACGCTGTTTGGCCACGTGCTCGCGTACTTCTTTAGCTTTGAGACCTCACCCTGGCCCCCCCCAGGTGAGCTGCTACCTGCCAGCGGAGGCCTCCTTCGGCCTGGCGGATGAAATGCGGCGGCGCAGCAGCGGGGCGGCATCAGCCTCGCTCATGCTCAGCCACTGGGAGAGGCTGCAGGTGGGTGGGAGGTTGCCCGATCCTGCCCGCCCTTCTCCCCCCGTTTCACATACCCCTTCAGAACGGCTTGCAGATCCCTCCTCCCTTCCTGGTTGCTTCACGTTTCATATATTTTTCCCTGTCCGTCCCCCCGCTCCCCCAGGTGGACCCCTTCTTTTCCCCCACAACGGAGGAGGAGCGCGAGGAGCATGGCGAGGACGCTTCGGGGCTCACCAACCTGGCGCGCCGGCTCATTGACGCGGTGCGGAGGAGGAAGGTGAGAGGGAAGGAGGGGGCCCGGGGGGGGGGATGCGGCCAACCGCCCGCTGTGTCCGTGCTGCCACTAGTGGCAATGCACATGGCATCGCAAGGGTGCTGCTAGGCGGTGGAGGACGTGCCGCCGCCACGTCCCACCTGAATGACCCGTAACATGTTAATCGACCTGCCCTCCTGCGCTGCTTTTCCTCTGGCCCCCCTCCTGCCCTGCTCCCCCCTGCCTGTCTGCCGGCCTCCCAGGGTCTGCCGGTGGAGGAGAAGGTGGTGCAGCGGGCAACCAAGCAACGCACACTCAAGCGCAACGTCTGAGGGGGTGTGAATGAAGAAGAAGGCATACCATGCTGTGAACTGTGTGATGGAGAGGGAGAGAGGGGAGAGGGGGTAGCCATGTGAGGTGGTGAGTGTTTGCTGGGGGTTGGGTTAGCGGGGGCAGCGGAAGCAGCGGAAGATAAGCAGGGGTGGGGTGCGAGCGAGGCTGGGGATGAAGTGTAAATGGCTAGTGTTGAAAAACATGGCACTGACTAGGCCATGGTGAAAGGGCGGGGTGGCTTCTGAATAGGCGGGCGGATGAGGCTGGAAAGGGTGGTACTCGGCACTCAAGGGTTGCTAGGGGCTGCGTGACAGGACCGAAGTGAATGCTGGTCGTGCATGCGCAAAGAGCGCCTGGCAGGGATGAGAGGAATGTGAACAGTATGGAAAGAAGGGTGGAGGTTGGTGACGTACGAATGTTTGGAGGCTTTCAGTTATGCCGCTGAGTGTAGCGGTGCGTGTGATGAGACGGCCCTGCGGCGAGCCTTGCTGCCTGGGTAACCACGTACCACTGCTTGGGTAGGCTTTGCCCTTACATCCACGCCCTCTGAGGTGTTTCCTTATGTGCATGCATACATGTTACTAGCGTGACGCTGGATGCTCGGCTCTATTACGGATTAGGAGCGACGAGGATGACACGCTTGTTGATGGTGCCAGGGTTAAGAGATGGCGCCATGGCGCGCCGTCACTCTGTAGGAAATGGTGCAGGAAGCAACGTGTAAGCATTTGGTATCAAGCGCTTGCTGTAACCCTAAAGCAGTACGGTGCAATGCACTATACGACATCCATGTTTCTTCGATTCTGGAAGGCAGCTCCGTAGCCAGAGGAAAGCATTGTTTTAGGAACTGTTGTTAATACCTAAAACATCAACCTACCCTTTTGTTTCCGGGCGCAGCTTCTGTACCCTGTAAGGCTTTTTCACCGGCCGCGCGTTTTACTGTAATCTTAATTAAGCGCAGCACAACACTTCAGTATACCTGAACCCTACTGAAAGCACATATTACTGAAGAAGCTATTCAGTCGTAGCAACAATGCGGGATGTCACACGCTTCAACCCTGCCTGTCTGATTGGGAACTGGGCCGAGGATAGAGAGCTACAACGAACAATCCTGAAGGACCTTCTTGCACGGAAGGGTACCGGTTCCCTCAAGCTCGATGCGTAAGTTCCATGGCCTGTTACATTCCAATGGTATCCAAATGCCATTTGTTGAGTATCGATGCTTCCGTGCTTATTAATCTGTCGAAGATAACGTTCAGTGTTCTTGTCGCTTACACCCACTTCACCGTTCCTTTCCTTTCCCCGCATTGGGCGTTCCCCTCTTCTTAGCTACCGTTCCCGTATGTCCACGGCGCTGGAGGAGGTGGAGCTGACGCGGGTAGCCGACGACCCCTACCTGCACTTTGGGGACGTGGTGCAGCTGGTGCACGTGGACACGGGCTGCGTGCTGGCAGGCGACCCAGGGGACGCGGTGAGCAGCAGCAGGAGCCGGGTGGCTGAGACGGGGTGTTTGTGTTGGTGGACGGTTTTGGCATGTGCGGGGTGTGACACTAGGGGGCAGAAGTGATGGCAAGTGTGGAAAGCCGACAGCTAAGTAATCCCGGTGGACAACTAGTCGAGCAGTGGCGGGGGCCGCGTGTGTTCCATGCCGAGCCGGGCTATTGAGTGGATGTGCCCGCACCCTTAGGGCAGCTTCCTAGCCCTGTCGCAGGGCTGCTGTGTTGACGCGGGTGGGGCTTGCAAGGTCAGGCCGCGCATGTTCCAAGAACCGCGTGAGCAAGGAGGCGATTATGGCGTCCATTCCGACATGCTCGCAAGCTGCTTGTTGCCCTCTGCACTTCTCCCATGCGCGCTTCCCCAGCAACAAACTGCACCCCGTGCCCCGCCTCGCCCCGCCCCGCAGGACTCCCGGCCCGGTGAGAACTCCTGCGCCTCCACCGCCGCCCCCGACGTGCGCGCGCCCTGCTGCCGCAACACCCTCATCCTGCTGCCGTACGTGCCCCCCAAGACGGCAACCGCTCTCGAGCCGCCGTACAGCGACAACGTCGTACACTACGGGCAAAAGGTGAGGGGCCCGGAGCCAAGGGCTTGGCGGGTAGTCCGCAAGAGGCACACGGTGTGCCCTGTTGCATTGGAGGGTGGAGATGAGTCCCAAGCCCCCTGTAGATGGCAGGCGGTGAAGCCCGCATCTGCCGACCCATGACCTCTGCTTGCCTGCCGCTGCCCCTGCCTGCTCACGCCCCTGTCGCCTCCCTGCTCCTATCTGCTCCCCTTTTCCCGCCCCCCTGTCAGGTGCGGCTGGCGCTGCACCCAGGCGCCTGGGGCGACGCGGCGGACAGCGGCGGTGGCCCCCGCCCCATGTGCCTCTTCTCCAAGCCCGTGTCCACCACGCACGCGGCGCGCTACAGCCGCCAGCAGCTGGTGGGCTTCACGGCGCGGAGCGACTCCTTCGACTGCGCCTGGCAGGTGGTGACGCCCGACCCGGTCATGCGGGCGGCGGCGGAGGGCGTGGAGGTGGGTTGTTGGGGCTGTCGGGTGGGGAGGGCGAGAGGGTATATGCTCTCAGTAAGCATCAAGTCGTTCTGCCCTCAATGCGGTATGCACATTTCGTAAGGGTGCTATCCTCCCGTTACTCCCTTGGGCCCCATCCTCCCTCCTAGTTACTAACCCCTAGGACCCCTTGGATCCCTTCGTTTTCTACTTCCTAACCCCGCCAGGTTGCCGCGGGTGCCCCGGTGCTGCTGGTGCACTGCGCCACTCAGAAGCCACTGTGCCTGGAGGCGCACCGCTACCCCAACGACTTCGGCATCGAGCTGGAGGTGTCGGCGCGCGCGGCAACCGCCAACGGCCTCAAACTGGCGCTGGAGCAGATGTACCAGGTGAGGGATGTGGGGGCGGGGGTGACCCGTGGGTCGGTGTTGGACCAACTGGCCGCACAACTGAAACTGACCGTGGATGTAGTAGAACAGAAGGATCATGGGTAGCATACCGTGGGTCGGTGTGGATTGTGGGGTGCAGCATATGCTTTCCTTCCCACAAACCTAAGAAAAAGGTAGAGGTTAGTGGATGAGGATAGTACAGGTAGGAGATGAACTTGGCGTTCCCCGTCACCCCTCGCCTCGCCCCTTTGCTCCACAGGGCGTCCAGAAGGGCTTCCTGCCCAAGGGCGAGCTGTCGGACAACCACTGGACCTTTGTGGGGGGCAGCCGGGTGGCGCAGCTGCCGGACCCCAGGTGCGCTGCTCCTCCTGCTCCTGAGCTGGGAGGGGAGGGAGGCAGGGAGGGAGAGCCGCGCATGGAGGGCGGTAGCAGGCATGGGAAGAGCGCTAGCAAGCATGACAAGCAGCACGCAAGAGCGTCATGGACTTTGCTTGCGCAGATATCGTACGTGCACCTCATATAGGATCTTCTTTCCAGCTTCTGGTGCGCATATCGGCTGCCGAATCTCTTACCATGCGCCATGCTCCCCAGTTTCAAGGCACATCCAACCCCTCCCCTTTCCCGCCCCTCCCTCCCTCAGCTCCGCCGCTGAGGGCGCTAACTCCTACCTTGCCGACCTGGTTTCGGAGCTGTCCGGGCGGCAGGGCGCGCTGAGCCTGCTGGAGCGCAAGCTGGTGACGCTGGAGAACAGCTACGCACTGCTGCCGGCGGAGGGTGAGAGCGCGCTTGGGGGCTCAGGGGAAGGCGGGGCAAGGGGGGGTTGGCTGGGAGACGGGAGGTGCAGGCCTTGCATGAGCGTGAGGGCAGCTACCCCGGCGGATGTAAGCTGTAAGGGTGGGAGGTATGGATATCGCTGCCGCGGCTCCTGCCGGTTCTCCTCGGCTCTTACTCCCCTCCCTCGTCCCTCGCCCCCCCCCCCCTGCAGAGTTCAAGCTGGTGTTGCGGCAGGTGGGCAGCTCGCTGTCCGAGGCGGGCATCGCGGCGCTGGTGGCCAGGTACTCCCCGGCGGGGGGCAGGGCGGGCGCGGCGGTGGACGCGGCGGCGTTCCGGAACGACCTGCGGGCCTACGCGACGGCCATGGGCGCGCAGCGCTAGCCGGGGAGGAGGAGCGGGGAGAGGAGGGAGAGGGACAGGGGATGAAGGGTGTGGGTAAGGGGAAAGGGCTGGTTGAGGGTGGTGAGACGTGTGGAGTGGTTCGAGGGGGCTGGATAAGTTGTGCATGCGGAGACTCTGGTACCTAATTGCGGCAATGAACGTGTACCATGATTTTTGTGCCCTGAAACGGCATGCGTATGGGGAAGGGAGGATGTCGTGCCGCTTTGCATTTGGAAGAATGCAGCGCGACAAACTTGCGATGAATGGTGTACTCGAGCGGATGAGGTGGGGGGCTGGGCAGGATGCACGGCTGGCTGCCGGCCGTTTGCAGGACAACGTGCACCCAATATGGCAGGCCTGGCAGCTACGTACATGCGACGGTTAGGCACTGAGCAGCTTGTGACACTTTTATACAACGGCTGTTGACCGGGTGCCGTACCGGTATAGCTTTAAAGGTCGTACTTTGGAAGCGAATTAAACTGCTTTTGCATACACCTGCATCGTATTGTGTACTATATGGCCATACTGTAATAAGGTACAGCCCTGAGACTTTGGTTTTGACCTCTGGTCGACTGCAATCGCGAGCGACGCCGAAATACGTAACGACATCGGCATCGCAGCTCCCCTATGACAGCACCGCGTCTTACGGGCTTGCAAAAGCAGGCGCTTAGCCTTTACCGCGCCTGCCTTCGTGCTGTCCGCTCCAAGCCGGAGGAGGCGCGTCCGGGACTACAAACGTTTGCACGAACTGAGTTTGACAAGAACCGCAATGTGAGCACACGTGACATTCAGCGCGTTGAGCACCTTTTACGTCGCGGAAAGAAGCTGATGGAGATGTTGATGGCTCCGGAGGCGCAAGGCATTAAAGTCCGCTGACCGGTAAGGAGGGCACCTGAGGAAGTCGTCTGGTAAGCGTTTACTGCTGGCGTCAACTGGTGCTGGTTATAGCGTGTTGACTTGGCGGCGAGTGCGTCCTAACCGCTCGTTTCGTGTGGCTCTTGCAACTCGGTCAAGACAGACTGCTCACAGCCAGGACCCCCAGCACTCCTTTCCATCTAGCCTGACCACTTCACTGCGCCCCGTTTGCATACGCAGGTAGCATATTAAACGTACAAGGTTTTCTCGGGAAGCCGCTGGGGCGCAACACGTGGTTCCGGTTGCACTGCGCGTGGCTCTTCCCGCCTTCCATCCACTACTGTAGCCGTCGCTACGGTGTTTGGGTGGCATCTCTTCGTGGCTTCGCCGCAGGACCCCTCCTTCTCCCTCTCCAATCCTCCTTGAGGGCAACAAGGCTGCCGGGCGCGCCGCTGCACTGTCTCAGCGCAACGGTGAGACAGCGCAGCGGTGAGATCCGTGAGGGGAGCCCTCACAAGCAGCGGCGGCAGTGCAGGTCTGCACACCCGTGCCTCCGCGCGGCTCACTCGCCGTTCCCTCCCTCCCCCTCCGGTGGCTCAGGCCTGCTCAGGCCAGCCAGCAGCCGACCGTTTGCCGACCCCTGGCAGCCGCAAAGAGTAAGCAACAGCTCGCCTCGTCTTGTTGCGGACTACAGGTATCATACAGGAACGCAAGCCACGCAGCGGAGGGGAAGCAGCAGAGGCGGCGTAGCGGCGCTGGGGGCTGGCTTAGCAGCCGCACCCTCGCGGGTGTGTTTCGGGCGCCGGGCAGAGCTCTCGGTTGAGGTCACAGCAGCAGCAGCAGTGGCGCTAGAGCAGCAGGAGCAGAAGACGTCGTAGCGGCGTCACAGCAGGCGCCTCGGGGTGTGCAGTGGCCTCTCTGTGGTTATGATGATGAAATATTGCTGCGATAGGGTAGTGGCAGTAGGCAAGCGAGGAAGGGCGTATGGCGGGGTGATGCGTTGAGGTGACTTGGCGCGGGCGCGGGTCGCTTGGCGCTTGGGTCACGCTTCGGCGTGGGTGCGCTGCAGTACGGGGGCGCCCTCTTGGTTCCTCTTCCATTGACAGTGGTGGCCGATGTGGGGTGCAAGGAACGATGGAGCACGTGCGCCAGTCCGCACCTGGCTACGTATGTACTGTATGGGTATACGGGTACTGGCCTGTTCACGGCTTCTGAACGGAAGGGTTACGGCTTGCTCGTGTAAGGAACTTCACTGCGTGCGTTTCCTGGATCCATTAGGTCACCGTGGAGAACACACGCCGTCCCTGCAGTTTGTTGGGTTGTCGCCCGACATTATACTTGCCGGCAGCAAAGGCCGTGTAGGTGTTGCTCGTGTAGGTGAAGTACTAGAGCAGATCTCACCAGATAGCTGCGTAATTGTGTAGGCGGTACTATCAGCACGACAACAGCAAAGGCCGTGTAGTTGGTCAACAAATGTATGTTGCACATCTGGTCGTTGCATTCGCGATGTCTGTCTACAGTATACATCGTACGTTCATCAACGACAACTCACACATTATGCTTTCTCACACCATGAAGGAGGTAGTTCCTGCAAAATTACTACGCGACATGTGCGCGCCATTGCAAATGGTACCAACAACACTACACGCACTTCGTTGAATCTTAATATGGTCAGCCATCCGTCGTCTAGCATTTGAGCGAATTATTGTCGCGCAGCGCCATCTGCTGCGCTGCTTACTGACGCATCATCTTTCACGGAAATGGCTGCTATTGAAGCGACGATCGCCGATATCAGGGCCAAGCTAGAAAGCGACAAGATAACTGTTCGAAAGGTGTGGCCTGTAAGAACAGTGAGAACGTTTTCCGGTGTACCAGTTGGCAAGCTGGGCGTCGATTGGATGGGAAAAGCGGCAAGGGCTTGAGCCCACCTGCAAGATATGTGGATCGCTTTACAGCCCAGCCCTTGACTTGGGGAAAGTTGAGCTACCAGAAAACTGGGCCAGGGTGCAACACCCTTTCCCAACTGCTGCACTGTAGCTGATTGCTCTGATACACATTGGTGCACCCCTTCAAACAGCTGACCTGACCCGTCTTCCTGTGCTCCGCCTTACCTCCGCACAGGAGGGCGTAAAGCTCCTCTCCGCGCTGCTAGATGGCCAGCAGGTGGGGCCACAGGCCAGGGGGGGGCCCGTCGTCCGGGTGCTCGGCATGTTGCCTGCAGTGCCTCACCACCTCACCGCCTCGTTCCTGACTTCTCCCTGCCATCTCTGCCTGCCATCTCACCCTCACCCTCGCCTTGAAGGCCCTACAGCTGTTGGACTCGGAAATCGCCCGACTGTGGCCGGACCAGCAAGCCAAGAAGGGTAGGGTCTGGGTCCTTGCTGGAGGGATGGGGTAGCATCGTGGGAGGAGTGCTCTTTCCTTCTTACCATGAACCCACCCCTTCCTCTAGCCTCCTACCAACCTCCCTACTTCTGCCCTCCCCTCCTGCCCTCCCCTCCTCCCCCCCACCCCAAAACCCCTTACCCCGCACCCCAGTCTCCACCTGGCCGCGGCTGCTGCGGATCTACCTGGACTTCGCGGAGCGGGAGGTCCTAGCGGGCGCAGCAGCGGCGCGGGCAGCAGCAGCAGCAGGAGCAGGGGGGCTGGGGGGCCGGGGCAGCAGTCGCGGCGGTTCGTCTTCCCACCCCGCCGCCTCCGCGACTGCCGCTGCCAATAAGGCCCTGGAGGCTGCGCGGCTGCTGCGGCGGCTGGTGGCAGTGGCGGATGACGTGCAGCGCTCAGGTGGGGGGGTTATGAGGGGGTAAGGGAGGGTTAGAAGGGGTTAAAAGGGCAGGAGGAAGAGGGTAAGAGTGAGGTTGGAGGAATGCTGCATGCTGGGGGACAGTGACTTGTGGGTACAAAAGAGAGGGTAGCTGGGTGTTGGGTGATGAGGTCTGGAAAGGAGCAGGGTGCCCAGTATCGGCCCCCCTTCCCCACCCCTCCCGCCCACCTGCCCCCAGGTCGGCGGGGTGCGCTGCAGCACTGGGTGTGGCGGCTGTGGCACCACGTGGCGCAGATGGTGCAGGTGGGGGGCGGGGGGGTGGGGGGTTTGGGGGGGGCGGGGCGGGGCGGGGAAAGAACAATAGATGAGAAGTGCAGCAACTGGAGTCCTGAGGCGGGAGAGAGGAAACTGACGAGCTGTATGACGAGGGGAAGGAGGGGCAGGTCGGGGGGGGGCGTGTGGGTGTCTGGGTGGGCGGGGGAGGCCATGTGGTGCGTGCGTGCGTGGGCGGGGGGAGGACGCAGCGGGGTGTGTGTCGGGTACCGCTATGCGGGCATGGGGGAAGCGCTGCGGAGGGGTATGAGTGGAGGCATAGGCTGTTTTACGACGCTTACGGTTGCTATGCCAGCAGCTGCCCCTTCCTTACCCTACCGCCTGCCTCCCGTCCCCGCCACCCCAGGACCCCGCCTTCCTGCCCAGCCCCCCCGGCTCCGAGTACCTCGCGCTCCTCAGCCGCCACCTGCTGCCCTCCCGCGAGTACACCCGCCTGCTGCGGCCCCCCGCGGCGGCTGCGCTGCTGGGGGCGCTGTGCGGGGCGCTGCGAGGTCTGGTGGCGGAGCAGGGCGGGGGCGGGGCGGAGAGCGCCTCTGCGGCGGTGCTGGGCAGCGCGCAGGTGGGGGGTCAGAGGTTGTGCAAAACCATAGGTTGGGGTAAAGCGATGTGGATAGAGGGCAGGGTGGGGGGCAGCGCGCAGGTAGGGATAAACTGAAGGAGACACTGACAGGTAGGGGGGAGGATGGGGGAAGGGGAGGGGTGAGGGAAGATGATGGGGGAGCATGGAGGGGAGAGAGGGGAGGGGGTGAGGAAAGGAGGAGGGTGGAATCTGCCTCTGTAGTTCACTGCTGCTGTACCGCGGACGGACATCCCCTCCCTGACCTCCTCCCCCAGACCTCTCTGTCCTCCCCTTCCCCTTCCCCGCCCGTCCCCCCACCCCCCCCACCCCCACACCCCCCTCCCCCTCAGAGCTACCTGGCGCTGCTGGGGTCGCTGCTGGCGGTGTGGCCCGGGGACCTGGGGCCGGAGCAGCGGCGGGAGATGAGGGTGCGGGCGGGGAGAGGAGGTTGCGAGGGGAGGAAAATGGGAGCGGGGTGGGGTGGAGGTTTAGGATTGTGGGTAGTGAGAAGTAGGAGGTACGGGGTCCTTGTGTCTTTGTTCCCTTTTTCCTGCATGAGCTGGGCGCCCTGTGTGTTGCAAGGTGCCCAACCCACCTGCGTGTGGGTGCTGTGTTGCAGGCGGTGCTGGAGAGTACGGCAGCCTGGCTGGCGACAGTACGGTGAGGCGGGGCTTGGACGGGGGAGGGGACTTGGTTTCGCTCGCGTAGGGGGGAAGCTGCTCCGGATGTGGGAGGGAGAGTTACGTACTGGCGCATAATGGAATTGGCCTGGCTCAGGGTTTTTATGGAGCTCCGGTTTGGCAGCTGGCAGGAGGCATGCGCTGCTTCTGGCCCTTTACAGTTCTCTCGTGCACCTCGCCTCTGTCTCTTTCGCTTGTCCTCGTTCAAGCACGCACACGCATGCACGCTCGCACACGTTCACTGTTCAGTGTTCAGTATTTAGCGAGGAAGGGACCCTTAACGCTGCCTGCGACCGGCCCCTGGCACACTCCACAGGGATACGGGTCGTACGACATTGTCGCTCTTCTCCGCGGCGATTCAGCTTCTCGTGGCGGGAGGTCTGGACGAGCTCGGGAGCAGCAGCACCACCACCGGGGGAGCTGCTGCTGGCGGTGGTGGCAGTGGAGCCGGTGCCGGAGCTGCTGTTGTTGGTGGTGGTCGTACACGTGTTGCGGTTGCCGTACCGGGGCTGCCGTACCAGCTCCACCGGGCACTACGGCGGCTGATGCGGCTGGCGTGGGGCGAGACGCGCACACCCCGTCTCAAGGCGAGTTGGTTGTTTCATGTTGTGCTGGGCGGTTGGCGGGCGGTCGCGTCGGGGCGCTTCGAGGTAGTTGAAATGCTGTGCTGCTGGGCCGCTGGGGTTCCTTCGGTGTTGCATCACTGGGCTGGGACACGCTACAGAGGTGCCCGCGCTCTTTGATTGTGAACTATGAGTGCTGCTTCTTACGCTCCATGCAAGATGTTACAACCCCCCAATGACGGTACCCTCCCTCGCTGGCTCGCTTCCCCTTTTTTTCTCTGCCTCCACCTCAGGAAACGCTGGTGCGCTACTCGCTGCTGCAGCTGCAGCTGGGCGGCCTGGACGCGCATGCGGACGTCAGCGGTGGGGATGCCAGCGGTGGGGGTAGGAGAGCGGGGGGCAGCAGCAGGGGTGGTGGAGGAGGTGGGGGCGGCAAGGCGGTTAGCGGAGACGATGACAACGAGGACGCCGCCGGGGGCGGAGGTGGCGGTGGTGGGCTGGCAGCTCTGGTGGAGGTGTACGAGTTGGCTGTTCGAGACGTGTCGAGCGGCGTTGCCAAGTGGTGCGAGCGGGAGATGTGTGCGTGTGTGGGGGAGGAGAGGTTAGGGTTTGAGGCTGGGGCTGCTTACTACTGGCTTTCGCTCTCCCTTCACTGCATACTACATACTACCTAGTGGTGGGCTTGTCAGTGACTGTGCTACTGCTATCTGTTTCAGTGGTTTCAGTATCATGTATTTGTCTTACTCCCCACGTCATCACTATCTTTGCTTGCCTGCTGCTGCACTCTCCCCTTGCCCGCTGCTGCTGCAATGTAGGGATATCGACCCGCGGGACGGCTCGCTGAGCCCCCTGCAGCTGCTGCAGTTGCAGCTGCTGGGATCGCTCGTCTTCGCCATGCAGCAGGTACGGAGCGTGAGAGGGGAATGGGGGGAGGGAGGGCCCGGTTTGTTGGCTTGCGAAAACAGGGGGCCCGTTGGGGCGGGGTGGCGAGGAGCCTTGCCCTCAGGCTCGTTACTTGCCATGCAAGGGTTGGTAACTTGGTATGGCCTGTTGGGCCTCTCATATAGCTCATGTAGATACCGGTAGTTCGGTGTTTGTGGCCCAGCTACCGGTATACAGTGCCAAGTGCATCCCCGATTTTCCAACTGGCCAGCAAACAAGCCTCAAGCTAACAATCTCCATGTCGCCTGCTCTCCGATGGTGTCCCGCCACAGGCACACACCGCAGGCAAGCTTCGTCTCGGCCAAGTGACCCACGGGTCAGCGTCGCGCGCAGGC